ATACAGAGAGCATTTGCTGGGGGGATAAACAGAGCTACCTAGCTAGTAGAAGTATTGACTGTGAATCCTTATCTTGTTCCTTTTAGAAGCATTCACTGGAGGCAGCGTGCCCTTTGCTACCCGAGTGAGCAATACACTGTGTTAGGGTCTCCTGGCAGAGCTGAGGGGAAAAAAATTCCAAACAAAATGAGCTTACCAAAATGCAGGAACCTTTCCAGTATGAGAGAAATAGAGTGTTGAAATGTCCTCAGTGTGGAAATAAGGGAGATCTTAACTCTGCTTTTTAGCTGGAGGCTTGCTGAGTTTTTTTAAAGGCATAAGCTTTTGTGAGACAAGTCATGGCAAGCACAGGGGAGGTTTCAGTCCTGTGGTCCCATATGGTGTATGCCCACAGCCCTCTACCCTTTCTTGACCTTCCTCATTTACCCTTTCTTACTGTCTTTCCAGTTCAGTTCTTCAGGTCCTTTTCTTGGTTGTCCCATGGGTGCTGGAGTATATCAGTCACACAGACATCTCTGTGGCTTTGTTGCCAGACTGGAGCTGCAGTGCAGCACCTCTTCCTGATTGCTACCAGGGAGCCCATCCATTCTGCCCTCACCCTGCTACTGGCTTGGGTAATTTATTCTGTCAGTCCATTCCCCTTTCTCCTCCACTGTGGCATTTTGGAGATGACTTTGAACATTCGAATTATTTGCAACCCACTCAGCCCAAGAGGCCAGCTAAGAGGATGAGTTCAAACCAGCCACCAACTCTCCCCAACAGAAGTGGAAATGCCAGGTAATGTACTTGACTTCTCTGGCCATTTTTCTCTGCACTTAGTAGCACATAACAGCTGGTAATATGGGCCTCCAAATTTAGTGTGACAGCACTGTCAGCTTCCCCTGTAGTTATGTTGGGTCATAACTATTTTGGAATCTTAAGCATTCACTTTAAAAGGGGAGGAAAATCCAAACCGCACAACATTTTTCAGCACATTAAAACTCCAAAGGCAGTCATCCACTGAAAGCTTTTTTTGACACAGGTAAACACATTTTTCACATGCTTCTTTAAGACACACATGCATGTGTACGTGGTGTGCTGTGAGCAGGAGACTGCCCTTATAGGAGAATTATACACTGAGTGGTGCTAAAGTACTGTCTTGATTTCTACTGACTTATATCCAAGACTAAATAAATGGGTGAGGAAATAAGGAGATGGGCTGTAACTGCTCATGCGCCTGATTTGTTGCTTATAGTTTGAGCCATCTCTGGTTACATGTTGCATGTGCAAATGCTGTTTTGTATTTGAATTAATGGTTTTGTGCATGGATTTTAACTTCTCAAAATGTGATCTTGAGAGCAGTCCTGATCACTTCACCACTGTTCTTTATATACTTGTGGGCAGTCATTTTGCTTCAGAGTGTTTTATTTCAAAGCATGAAAGCATGACGACCTTTCAGCATTCAGAGTCTTGTTCTTATATGAGCTTTCTGAGATGCAGTCAACGGTCTGCTGGTTAGGACATGCTCCAGCATTGTAACAGTCTTGGGAAGAGCTTTCGTCAGCAATGCCTTCTGGATCTAATATATAAGTAGTGTGTGTTTTTTCTGTTAATACTGTGCAGAAGCCAGTGTTTCTTTCTTTAAGTAAATTCACAATAAATCACAGCAGGTATCTTACTTGACATTTTCTTATTCCAGGCTTGACCTGTTGGTGAGCTTTGAGTCGCTGTCCAGAAAAGGCCAGTGTCATTTAGGGCTAGCTTTTCCAAATCACAGCATGCCATTCTTGTCAGCTGCAAGCTCCTACCACTTTGTGGGTGGTTGCATCACTGAGGAGAAAATAGCTAACGAAGGCACAATCATTGCCTCGGGACTTTGCCAAGGAAACCTCATGTGAAGTTACATATTTGTGACTTTGAGCTCCAAGGGTTTGGTCATGCTTGCACTAAACTGCAGATGTGGGGTCTGTTGTATTCAGTGTGCATCCAGAGATTTGGAAGGGGAAATGAGTGGTAGGAAAGAGGGGTTTAGATCAAGCTGTCTGAAAGGAAAAGGTCTGACATCCTTGGCTTTAGAAATACTGCCACATTCCAGAAGTCCTGGGTCATGAAAGCTTTTCACTGCACCAGAAGGGCTGAAATCAAAGCGACTGCAGGGCCATAATTTCATCACTAATATCTTGCTGCATAACACACTAGAAACTTTTTCCTCTGTCATTCTGCTGAAAGTCTAAAGTAGACAAAGGAGGCATGCCAGTGCAAGTTTAGTTCAATGAGAAGGCCGGCAGATTCTGTATTGAGAGCATCATTGAAAAGAATGTTAAATCAATAGTTGTCCAGCTGGTGATAAAGGATAACCTGCGCTTAACCGTAGAAATAAATAGAGGAAAAAATATGACTCGCTAATATCCTTGACCTTTTTTCAAGAACAGAGAATAGTAGCAGCACATGAAACCATTAGATGTGAATACAGTCTCTTGAGAAGTCTGAGTATGGAGTGCTATGACAAGAAATAAGCAAATTGGCTGGACAGGGAAGTGATTCTGTCTGCAGCCAGAAGAACAAAGAATACTTGAGCTTGTTGTTTTGGGTTTTTCACTCTTAACACACTTATAGCATTAGGGAACCCTAAGCACTGTTCTGCTTTTCTGTTGACACAGCATAGGGTGAGGGATGCACAGAGAGGTTGGAACAATTACAAGAAAGGATTAGTAGTTTATTTGCAAGAGGTTAGTATTGCAGCTTTTGGGAGTTGGTTTCAAAGGCAACTACAAGCATGAGTGTCTCTTGTTTGCTTTCCTTGAAGAATCGTGCCTCTATAGTCTCTTGACATTTAAAATGAAATACCTCTACGTTTTCCTTCTTTCTGTTTCAACCAGATAAGATTCTGTAACCTCAAATCTTCTGTGTATATCCCTTTGTTTTGCAATTCCTTTGTGAAAGAAAGAAAACAACCATTGAGAAAGAGAGAAACAGGAGATAAAAATAGGGAGCTGCCCTCAATTCAATTCTTTTTTTGTCTTCCACTGAATCCCTGTGTGGCAGTGCAGTGATGCAGCACCATAACCAACAGTCTGGCATCTGCAGCCTGCCAAGCTGATCCCTGAAGGATCAAGCATCATCAATCTCATCTTTTACTTTCTGGTTTTGGCTCTTTGTTTATACATATTTATTTAAGACGGGGAAGTTTTGGTTTCAGCCCTCCTATGCACTGCTCTAGGTGGTGGCCCTGGACAGCTCCTGTCCCTTCACCTTGTCATCCTGCCTCCTATTTACTGCCCTTTTTTTAGTCCACAGTAATCTGTAAGCTTCAAATACCTGCTTGTCTTCTGCCTCCTCTGCTTTTCCTTTCCTGTGCCTGTCCACAGGCTGCCTCCAAGGCACATCCCATTGCTGTTTGCAGACAAGCAGCCCACGGTAAGCACAGCATCAAGGTGCCCACTGCCTGGCCCCAACAGATTCCTTCCTTGCAAACAAGGTGCCTGGTTCAGCAAAAGAAACACTTAATTAAAAATATTCTTTGTATTTGTGGCCTTTAAATGTAGGTCTCACTTCAGCTGATGTACAGGTATTTATCTCATATGAGACAGACAGAATTCAAATGAAGAATGTGAGCTCTGTAAAGCTGCAAGACTTTTTACCTAGCAAAGGGTCCGTGCTTGCCACTCCTTCCTTCAGACATGCAGTTGTGGTACCAGGCTGCACATTAACCAGCTGTACGTGTTCCTCCTTTCACATCCCACCGTGTCAGAGCTAGGTCCAGGTCAGTCTGGTTCTGATACTTTTTCTCTAGGACTGGCATGGTACAATGCTGGCGAGGCACGGCTGTGACTACTACTTCACTACCTGAACCGTGGCTCCCCTTCATCCTCACCCAGGTGGCCTGTTTGGAATTCCTGCTCAGCATGATGCCATGTAGGAGAAGCAGTGAAATTTTTGTCCCTGCATGTTGATGTCTGATGGCACATGGTAAATGCCTGGTGTCCTCATTGGTGGCTTTTTTCAAAGTACCTACAAACCAAGGTCAGAGTGATTATTCTCTCTAATTGTTAAAGCCAATTTCTGGATCACAGACAAGAATAGCATTGCCTGCATTCTCCACATGCCTGTTCATCCTGCTGTTAGGTCTCATGGCTGTGGTTAGGTCTCATTGCTTCTGAAAACAGGAATATTTTCTTACCTGCATGACCAGAGATAAAGTTGTTGGAGTGCTGAGACAATCTAGTCTCAACAAAGCCCCTTTCAGATCAGACAGCACGTCTGCTCTTTGGTGTATTCTTTCAAAGACAATCCTTTGAGGAAACCTGGGAGAAGCATGCCAAGCTCAGTCAGTTGTACGTGGGCATGGATATAAGGTGCAGAGGTCCAGGTGTTGTGAAGGTGATTGCTGTAGGCTTCAGAGAGAAACGTCCCCATTGTGAACCTGTGCATCCCTTGAGGGACTTTGATGTTCATGACCATTTTTAACATTATAAATATTTTTTAAATGCTATATATAATTTGTCTTCAGACATTTTCAGGTCATAACTAAACTACTAGGCTTGTTCCAAATTAGGGATGGATGGCATGAATAGCACAGTGTGAGTCAGACTCATCACATGTTCCAAATTAAACTTGTGCTGAGCCAACATTGATCTTAAGACTCTTTCTGAAAATGTCTCTACCTTACAGATATTGCTGATAGTGTTTCTACAGAGGTTGACAATGAAGAAAAATATAAAGCAGAAGCATGGAGAACAACTGTATGATGGAAGGACTCAAAACATGCAACTAGGAGAAAGTATTCTGAATAAAAAAATTTGTGAAATAACAGCTTCAGCAGCATATTGGTTTTGGCTTGCCTAGCACTCTTAAAAGTTCAAATTGCAAACCTCTAAAGTTGATGAAGCAGAGTTGTCTCCTAATGACTACAGATGGATGTTTCCCTACCTAGGAATTGCAAGGTGCCTGAAGTATAACCACAAAGGGCTCTGTTTTCTGGGGGTGGGGCAGAAGAGGAGTTATGAGGGTAACATAAAGATCAGAAGATAGAAGGTCTTGGAGGATTTATCTGATGACCTGTCCCCAGTAGAGGTAATGCATGCTCTAAGTGAGATTTCACCTGGGATATTTGTCACAGTTATGACCATACATACTTAAGGCAGGTCAGTTCAAACTTGTTCAAAAGATTAGGCAAAAGAAACCCCAGCTATTAATTTCTCCTTTTTTTTTTTTCATCCTTTTATCTGTGAAGGTGAAACTGAAAGGTTTTGGTTTCTGTAGCCCAGCAAAGAAAGGTAGAGATTGATTAAGGTGTTTGTCTGTGAGGGAGATGGGATCATGTTTTCTGATGGGAAGATGGTAGCCTACCTGCAAACAAGAGGAAATTGAGTAGCAACATATGACTGTGAATAGACAATGAGCACTTTTAAACTGGAAATGAGGAAGGCTCCCATCTACCAGAAGAATGAGACTCTGGAAAGAGCAGGGTCAGGAAAGCTGACCAACTTGTTTTTAAGATTGCATTAATGAAAGTCATGCTATTACAGGTGTGCCTGGAGCATCACAACAGATTGACTACACCCCTGCAAGTAGCTTCCATTCCCTTTGTGAAGGGAAGGTAGTAAAAACTGCTTAATCTGAATATGCTGTGGTTCTAAAATACTTGTTTTTCAGTATTTCTACCTTCTTTAAAGCAGGTCATTGCTCACTTGAGACCTTCACAAACCCAGTTCTCTCTTAGGAATGATTCCCAAAAATGGAAGGTGTCCCCTCACCCAGGGACACAGAGGCAGGGAGCTGCTTCTGCAGGGCTGACATTGCTGCTGTGCTGCTGCTGCTGCTGCTGGCGAACAAACAGAGCTCTGTTCATTTTCTGCTCCAGCAGAACGAGCAGGGGGCGGGGAATGGGACAGAAGAAGGATGAGCTCGGGGATGGAGGCTGCTCAATAGAATGAGAAAAACATGATGAGAGAAGACAATGTATATTCCATTTCATAAAGAAATTCATTCAATTACACATGTTAAACAAAATTTGGAAGGGTTTGCCCTTTTATTGTTGTTCACAGGACTGCTTATCTGTTCATTTTTTTCTGTTTTGCATGCTAATGATAAATCAAAGCTGATCATCTTGTCATTGCCATTGATCCTGATTTAGGGAAAACTAAAAACATAAAATACTTTCCATTTTTCTCATTGCTTATTTCTCCCTGCATTCCAAATAACAAGCTGCTGTTGTGATATGAAAATCATTTTAAAGACTGAAGCATCCAGACTGTACTCACAACACAGGAAGAGACATGCTTGTGTTCTATTGGCCACTTTGGAAGTCTCAGTCTGTATATTTTTCATCAATTTGAATTATGTTGCTTTGGTCCTTCTGAAAACAAAGCAACTAGTAATGAAAAAAAAAATCTGTTACAAGTTTTATAAGACACAGTACTTTCAAAAATGTGGCATTTTAGAACTGTGGCTGTTAAATTTGTTGGCCTCTGCATGACTGGTCTACTAAGAAGCTGTACTGGTGTTGTTCTAGTAAGTTAAAAATGTTATTTTAAAATGTTTTTTTACTGTCACTAGAACAATGCATGATATAAGACGAGCAAATTCTGAAACACAAGAGTCTTAATTCTGTGTCTGAGAGATTCTGCATTTTCATTTGGGTGAGTTGAGGCTGAGGGAAGAGTCTTTCATTTTGCTTGGGGACTTTGGGATTCTTTTTACTTTCACCACACACATGCACGTGTTGGAGCACTGATGAAGCAGTGCTTCGTCAGTAACTGGATGTTACTGTCCAGTTACTCTGCTGACAGCAAATGGAAGCAAAAGGCCCAACCATGAGGTGTGTCCTCTCTGCTCTGACCTGTGGCCATCATCTGGCCCTACTCCTTTTTCAGCCTTGCTGAGGAGGGATGGCCAGGGGAAGGGGTAGGCCAAAAGGTTTGTCTCACTCTGTCACTGCCATATATGCAAAGAGGTGAATCCTCCCGCCTCCTCCCGCCTTTATAAAAGCTGCCTTCTTTTTTTTTTTCTTTTTTTTTTCTTTTTTTTTTTAATCAGGGCAATGTTCAATTTTCCACAAATGAAGTGGCAGATCTGTGTACTTTATACTTACATTCTAGGCTCAGGAAGGTTGAAATCTCACTGCAGCATAGCTGTTCCCTTTTCATCTCTGTGATCACTCCTCATTGCTAGAGTAATGCATGGGAAAATGGGTGCAGATTTGGTATTTCCCTAAATATCTTCTCTCCTTCAATAATCATGACGATCCCCACAAACATAGAAGGTAGCAATGCCCTTAGAAAGCAGAAAACTGATTTTCTTTCTTCCCCAGTCTTTTTAAAAGACTGGTCTTTTTCATTCACTCTTGGTAGTGAATTAGGAATTTGCTGTATCATTGTTAACTAAGAGGAATAAAGCTAGTCTGGAAATAGAAATGGCTGCAGCCTGTGCAGATAGATGTCAGCTGTTGCTCAATGTCATTATGAAACTGTGAAGTCATCAGAAATAGTCCCCACAGGGAATGTGAATATTGGGCACAATGCTGGGTTTCCAAGCTGAAAACAGAGAGACAGAAACCTGGGTTAAAAAAAAAAAAAAGGAGTCTCACATGACATAAAAGTGGCTCTAGTTCCTTTTGGCTCACTGGAAGTTTTTGGCTGTCTATGATGTCTGATACTCACAGAAAAGATACATGAAGATCTATGACCAATAAATGCACTCTTAATCCAAGATGGCCTGTAGAATTTCCCTATGCTTAGTGGGAACTTTGTCCACATTAACATTGAAGCCATGCAAAAACATGACCCTTGAAAGAGAACAGGAGGAGGAGATTTAGGAAAGGATAACTTATCTTGTTAATGACACCAAGGAATAAGACACTCAAGAGAAATCCAATAGCTTCAGCAGTAAAGGTTCCGTAAGCACTGTCAAGGATGAAAAGGAAAACCTTTAAGAAAAAGAGGCAATAAATTTGCTTTCCAACTCCTTTATCACCCATTACATAAAAAAGCCTGAAGGAACAAGATCTTACAATTGGAAAGAGACTTAATGGCCCAAAACTCAGCCCAGACATTGGAACAAAGCTATAGTCATCACATTTCTTTGCTTTCTGGACAAAGAACTTATTATGTAAAAAGCAGAATAAAACTCAAGAGCCTGGGATGCCAATAAGCAAACCTCCCTTTACTCAGACAGTAAAAACCCAGACTGTTAACCCATCAGACCAATGTGGGTTTGAGATGAAGATCCACCACTTTTTCACCTACAGGAAATTACACCATCTGTGCCCTTTGGAGTTTCTCAAACATCAAGGCCAAAGATTCCACAACTTCCATCAGAAGTTATTGCTGTTGTAAAAGTGAGGGGTATCTGCTTATTCATATAACATGATTCAGCTTCTTTTGCTTCCAGTAATGTTGAAATCACTGCTGAGTGCTTGTTGCATAGTAGTAGTGATGTTTCAGAAGAAAAAAGAAAAGAAGAGAGAAGTTAGTAATTTAAATACTTGTAGAAGAAAAAAGAAAAGAATAGAGAAGTTAAAAAAGAAAAGAAGAGAGAAGTTAGTAATTTAAATACTTGTATTACTGCCTCAACAATATTTCTGTATCACTTGTATCACAGACAGAGAAGTCAGCAATGAAGGAGAAGGCAGCTGGCACTCATCATTGACAGAAGAGGAGACAGTGTGTGAAAAAAGTATTTTTACTTAACAAACTCATACCAGATAATCCTAATGAAGCTGCAGGATGTCAGTTGTAGAAAGCAGCAGCCAAATCTCACAGATTTTCATGAAACTTAACAAAATAAGGTGAGGAATGTTCTTTTCTTTTAATGGTCCAACAGCCTGGTCTTTATTTGTAACTGAAGGGTACTTCTGTGAAGAAATCACTGGTGTTAGTAAGTATATAGTAAGATGCAGAGCTCCCAGGAGAGATAAGGAAACCACTGCATTTGCCTTCACTGGATATCCAAGGAGTGCTGTCTTTGATGCCTCCATTGAATATAACTTTTGCCCACTGACAGAAGGTTACTGCTGAGAAGATCAAGCTCAGGCCTGAACAAGCAAGAAGACAATTTTTACTATATGGAAGTGAGAAATGTTTTCTGGGAATAAAGCTCAGATCAAGCTGATTCCTCATAACATTAATCCCATGAAAACAAAATTTAAGGCAGTGATTCAGGCAAGTTTCTGTTTGAAACTAAATTGAGAACTACTGTCCTTGAATAGTTCTATTTTCCACAATTTTCTCTGGTGACAAATGTTCATGTTACCTGCAAAAGAATAACAATACATGTAGCTGACTCTACCCATTCTTAACACAGTCAAAGGAGGAGGGCTAGTTAAGGACATGAAACAGGCTGCTCTGAAGCTACAGCTACATTTTGTCTTCCTATTTTAAAAATACATAAGGAACCAATGTTTCAATATTGGTTCAATATTGGTTTCAACCAATATTGTATTGTCTCAATTGTATTTATTAAACTAATAGCAGGAATAGAAAAAACCCATTAGTCTAGCCAAGTCAGGTAAGCAAGCCTCAGACAGCTCAAAATTGGGGAGGCTATACAAGAGCTGTAGAGAGGAAGCGGCATTATTTGTGGTATTATGTTTTGGGAAAAAATTGGAGAAAAAAGTTAAAGGTTATAAGATAATCCCACACAAATGTACAGTTACACTAAAAGGAAAAAAAACAACCCACAAATGGTTTACTTGATTTATCTACACTTCAGTATAATCCCACACAAATGTATAGTTACACTAAAAGAAAAAAAACAACCCACAAATGGTTTACTTGATTTATCTACACTTCAGTAGGTTTTTAGTTCAGCCTTTTACTGTAGAATTTCAGTATCTCATAGGTAGTGTACATGCAGACTTAGGGATACCAGAGCAAAGCTTAAGATAAAAATTAAGTGTGCTTATACAGTGAAAGGGAATTTTTCATTGTAATATCTTGGCTGCCTTACTGTGTCTGTGACCAGAGAATTTAGACTTGAAGAAAGGACAGTTTCTGTGTTTCAAACAAGCAAGTAACAATTAAGTTCAGTTACAGCATTCTGTGTGTTAACACCATGTTTCATTCTAGATCATCTACACTGTAGTTACTTAGTATTCTGAACACCCAGCATATTCTGTTTAAAAAGAACAGGAAAAAAAAAGAAAGTACTGTTTTCTTCTAATGTTCTTTCTAGTTTGCATGACACTGCAACTGTAATTCCGTATTTGCAGTTACAGAAGTAGTCAAAAAAGATTGTTTTCTCCAGAAACCCAAAGACCCACCTTTTCAATGGGGCTCATTGCTTCTAAAGAGTGTGCTTTGCCTGCTAGCAAACATCAACCTCCAATTTCTATGCAGATACTCTTGATTACATGTATCTGAGTCATGTTTCTTCTTTAAACATAGGCAATGAATTCTCCAAATACCAAGCCAACCTGCTGTACTGAATGGCCACTTTGCTGCCTCCTGGGCTGGGGTACAGCTGATGGCAGCAATGCTTCTGTGTTCTCAGCTTAGTTGTCAGCAGTGCGGTTGTTCACAGCCTGACGGGTAATAGCATGCAAGATAAAAAGTGATAAAAATATGTTTTCCAGAAAACCTCACAATCTTAAAGAAATTATTTTTCTTCCATCAAATTACCTCCCCATCCCCTTCCCACATCTCAGCCCCTCTTACTCAATCAGCACCTAATTTCTTCCCTTCCATAGCCAGGATCCACTGAGGATTATTTACAGTGCTGACACTCTCGCTGTCACGTGGGTCCCAAAGCTATCTCTGGCAGCTTCAGCACAGGAGTGCAGCTAAGCTGGGCAGAACTGCACTGCTGAACTGGGGAGCAGTGACAAACCAGAGGGCTTAGTGACACCACAGTCCCCTGCAGCTACTTCCCTTTAAAAAAAAGCTCATTAGTATTAAAGCTAAATTTTGCTTAAGTAATTGATGTTCTTTTGAAGTCATCAGCTGAAGAAGTAAAAGTTAGGGACAGAGATGCTGTAAACAAATAATATGGTAATTATAACTCACTGCTTAATGTTTGTCCGAAAAAAGCTCATTAGTATTAAAGTTAAATTTTGCTTAAGTAATTTATGTACTTTTGAAGTCATCAGCTGAAGAGATGCTGTAAACAAATAATATGGTAATTATAACTCACTGCTTAATGTTTGTCCCAGTTAAGAACTCTGTGTTCAGATTTTTCTTCACTGTTAGTGACTGTCAACATTTCACCTGCCCTATCTAATAAGTGCAGTTCTGTGATGCAAGTCACTTGCTCCTTTGTCAGTTATTTCCTCCCTGCTCAATGAATAGTTAGCCAATCTAAAAAGAAATGTGAATTATCTGTAAATACTATGTTTGGGCTGCAGGCTGTTAGGTAGAAGCAAATTCAGCCAACCATTGTGTATGTGTGATAAAATGAAATTTGTGCACTGATTTTCCCCCTGCTTTGAACTCTAGGCCATCTTGTATTTCTGGCTGCTTGCTAGAACAATGAGGCTGTATCTGACAACAGAAGTGGACTTTAAAAGGCAAAATATAAATATTTGGAATGTGCCCAGGGAGACGAGTCTCGCATCTTCCTTTTTGCAACAATCAGTCCTGCTTTTCACTGAAAATTTGCCAAAATTCAAGTTAGTGTTTTTGAACTGAAGAAACAAAGCAAATGAGAAAATGTGCCACCTTGAAAACAGATCTCCTGCTGTGAATGCAGCAGTTCAGTAGCAGGGACTTGATCCTGAGTGTTCTGTGGTGTCAGGGGTATTGGAGGCTCCTGCAAGGCTGAGCTCTGGAGATCCCTACAGATGTGTTGCACCAGACCTGGCACAGTGAGGCAGCTTGCTCTGAAGCTGTCCTCCTGCACCTGCTCATACTGTTGAGGGGTTCATTCAGGTTAAAAAGAAAAACTCAAAGTAATACATGAAGTTAAAATCCCTCCTTTCCCCAGCACACCAAAAGGAAAGCAGGGTTTGCCTGGCCTGAGGCCAGCCGTGGCTGGTGTTGCACCATTGCTGTTTCTGTGCCAGCTGCTGTGGGCTGCAGAGAACGTGTCTCACCTGTTGCTGGCAGGGGCAACCTGTGAGCTGCACTGAGGAGATTATGAGCTCTGTGTAAGCACCTTTAATATCAACCAGGCTCCTATTTTGTTTGTAAGCCCAGTCCCTCCTTCTGCTATCTAAATTGCCTCCACATTCCACATTTGGCTGCAGTTGCAAGCAGTGATGTTGCAAGGGCTCCCATAGAAGGTTACTAAACCTTGATGACCCTTGGTTATCTGGAAGAATTTATCTTGCCAGCTGTTTTCAAGAGAAGAAGAGACACAGAAGGCAAAGCTAGGTCAGTGAAGGTCCCTGAATACTTTAAAGGCCCTCAAATTCCTTGGCAAACAGTGATCAAAAGGAAAAATTTCCAAAGCTGGGAAAGGCAAACAGCATTTTTTTGTTTTGCCTAATTCTGTTAATTTCTTGTGCAACTGTAACAGAAACTTCTACAAAATCTCTGCACTGTATCTCAGTCATGTCTGCTTCCGCATTTACACACCACTAAATGCACACAAAATGGAAAGTATAGTGCTTGAATAAATGAGGATGGTTGTGTATGTGTGTGTAGGTGAAGGCAGGCATGTAGGATTGGACAGGGATAGGAATTGCTCTGACTAGACACTTGGATCACAAGGTTCTACTTCCTTACATGTCAACAGACTGAATTTTTGTGTGAAAGAAATACATCTTGGGGCTGCTGGAGGGAGGGAAAACCCTAAACCTACTTCAGGCCAAGGAAAATAAAGACCTACAGGTCCGTATACAAACTCAGTTTTCTGGCAGGCATAAAACTCTGAAAACTTTATAAGTCTGTATAATCATCTAATAAAAAAATGATACACAGAAGTTGACTGGGCACACAGGAAGTCTGGGGTAGCAGCAAGCAGATCCAAATTTGAAAGCCTATTTATTCATTTTTTTTCTCTTTCACATGTTGATGTTATCAGCAATGACTTCAGAGTCAGATTTTAGGTTGGTATTTATTAAAATAAGTTATCCTCAACAGTTAAGTAATCACTAGCATGACATGATTTGTGCAATGTTAACATCACTTAAGGATGATGTGCTGTACTCTCTCTTGTGAAGTTTTGTTTCAGGAGGTAGAGACATTGTCTGAGTATTTCTTTCATTTTACCTAAATTCTTATTCCATCTTGGCTTACCCTGATTTTCATGAGACCCTGGTTTCTGTTTGTCTCTTTGGACAACCTACAGCTAAATTAGTGTCTGTCAGGCAAGGTTATGTGATGTTACATATTGCCTTAGGACTCTGAAAACTCTGTCACTCAGCATAAACTGAAGAGTTGCAGCTCCAAGAATTTGGAGGCTTTCTCACTTGATAACCGAGAAAGCCTCCAGAGCCACCAGCATGTTTGATACCACTGGGCATCTCCATTCAAGTGAAGAAAAACACTTGAAATCTTAGAAATATAATAATGTTAAGCTACAGCCTTTGCCAATTAAGTCTAATAAATTATGTGAAATTTCTACCTTTAACTCCCAAGTATTATAAAATAGTTCTAACAGGATAACTAAATCCATCAAGTCCATGACTTTTTCCACACCATGCAAGAACCATAAACTTCAGAAATCATTTAGGTTTGTCTTCTACTAATTTAAAAATAGCAAAAAGGCTTTCTATGTGCTTGAGTGGTGTCTTACAAGTAGTCTACAAAATAATCATGGTCAGTGTCACTGTGGTCCTGGTACGATCCTTGTAGTGCTCTACTGACTTCAAAGCAGCTTTGTGTATGCCTCAAGGAATTATTTCATGGT